CAGCATTCCAAGACATTTTGGACAATTTCATGCTCCTAATGCTGTGGGAAGAGTTTGGGGATGGCCCCTTCCTGTTCCAATATGACTGCGCACCAGTGCACAAAGCAAGGTCCATGAAGACATGGATGAGTGAGTTTGGGGTGGAGGAACTTGACTGGCCTGCACAGAGTCCTGACCTCAACCCGACAGAACACCTTTGGGATGAATTAGAGCAGAGACTGCGAGCCAGGCCTTCTCGTCCGACATCAGTGCCTGACCTCACAAATGCACTTCTTGAAGAATTGTCAAACCTTCCCATAGACACCCTCCTAAACCTTGTGGACAGCCTTCCCAGAGGAGTTGAAGCTGTTATAGCTGCAAAGGGAGGGCCAACTCAATATTGAACCCTACGGACTAAGACTGGGAGGCCATTAAAGTTCATGTGCGTGGAAAGGCAGGCGGCCCAATACTTTTGAAAATATAGTGTATATGTCTATCAGGAGGACCTCAAAAACAGTGGGAAGATTCCAATATTTCAATCTCACACTTTATGGACACTTTGTCACATTAAAAATACAGGCTAGAACCTGTAAGCAAGAGTGGAAGTCCGGCTAGGGGACAAAAACTGCACCAAAATAAAAAGGGGGGGCCAAAAAAGCTAGTGAGGGGAAAAGAAAGTAGGAAAGCAGACGGAAAAAAGAGAGGGGTAGAAGAGTGAGGACATGCCCATTCAGGAATCCACCAGGCCGCCAATCTAAAGTCGAACTTAAGTGTCCTGTACCTGCAGTTAAGAGAGCTACCTCCCAACCTTCTGAGATAAGGAAGAGGGACATATTGTGGTACAAAGTATGTAGGCAAAGGTCACATTCCTGTCGACTCCCCCAGTTATGTGGACCACAAATAATTAATACGCAAAAAAAAATTGGGTAAACCCTCAACTTCTTTTGTTAACCGCTAATTTTCCTTTATCCTGGCTTTTCAAAATAATAAATGAAATAATTGTGAGATTGGTGAAAGGTACAGTATAGAGCAGCCTTTTTCAAACCTTTTAACACTGTGGAACCCCGTGGGAAGAATGCTCCTCACATTTGCAGTAACTAGGAAGAATCCCCTGTACAGATAGCTAAGAAGATCAATGGTGTCAGTGGTTACTCATCTGAGAGGCAGAAAGTTTCTTATTGCTCATGGAACCCCTAGCAACCTCTGGCAGAATGCTAGTTGATAAACTCTGGTATAGAATACCACTTTTGGTACTTAAAAAAAGTAAATTTTGTATAGCGTTATATACAGTGGGGCAAAAAAGTATTTAGTCAGCCAACAATGGTGCAAGTTCTCCCACTTTAAAAGATGAGAGAGGCCTGTAATTGGCATCATAGGTAGACCTCAACTATGAGAGACAAAATGAGAAAAAAAATTCAGACAATCACATTGGCTGATTTGGAAAGAATTTATTTACAAATTATGGTAGAAAATAGGTATTTGGTCACCTACAAACAAGCAAGATTTCTGGCTCTCACAGACCTGTACCTTCTTCTTTAAGAGGCTCCTCTGTCCTGCACTCATTACCTGTATCAATGGCACCTGTTTGAACTTGTTATCAGTATAAAATACATCTGTCCACAACCTCAAACAGTCACACTCCAAACTCCACTATGGAGAAGAGCTGTCGAAGGACACCAGAAACAAAATTATAGACCTGCACCAGGCTGGGAAGACTGGATCTGCAATAGGCAAGCAGCTTGGTGTGAACAAATCAACTGTGGGAGCAATAATTAACAAATGGAAGACATACAAGACCACTGATAATCTCCCTCGATCTGGGGCTCCACGCAAGATCTCACCCCGTGGGGTCAAAATGAGTACAAGAACGGTGAGTAAAAATACCAGGACCACACGGGGGGACCTAGAGGATTGGGAGAATGTCATATGGTCAGATGAAACCAAAATAAAACTGTTTGGTAGAAACAAAACTCGTCGTGTTTGGAGGAGAGAGAATGCTCAGTTGCATCCAAAGAACACCATACCTACTGTGAAGCATGGGGGTGGTAACATCATGCTTTGGGGCTGTTTCTCCACAAAGGGACCAGGACGACTGATCCATGTACAGGACAGAATGAATGGGGCCATGTATCGTGAGATTTTGAGTGCAAACATGACAATGATCCCAAACATACTACCCAGGCAACGAAGGAGTGGCTTCGTAACAAAGCATTTCAAGGTCCTGGAGTGGCCTGGCCAGTCTCCAGATCTCAACCCCATAGAAAACCTTTGGAGGGAGTTGAAAGTCCCTGTTGCCCAGCGACAGCCCTAAAACATCACTGCTCTAGAGGAGATTTGCATGGAGGAATGGGCCAACATACCAGCAACAGTGTGTGTCAACCTTGTGAAGACTTACAGGAAACATTTGACCTCTGTCATTGCCAACAAAGGATATATAACAAAGTATTGAGATGAACTTTTGATATTGACCAAATACTTATTTTCCACCATAATTTGCAAATAAATTCATTCCAAATCAGCCAATGTGATTGTCTGGATTTTTTTTTCTCATTTTGTCTCTCATAGTTAAGGTCTACCTATGATGCCAATTACAGGCCTCTCTCATCTTTTTAAGTGGGAGAACTTGCACAATTGGTGGCTGACTAAATACTTTTTTGCCCCACTGTATATCAGATTAAGGCACAGCTAAGAATAAAGGAGGGACAGAAGGATTTGATTTCAAAGGAGGGACAGTCCCCCTATTGGCAGGTAGTTGGGAGCAATGCAATCCCAGACCCTTTAGCTGCGCACAGCTATGGGACAAATGGCGCCCATTCCATCTGTAATCATCCAGAACAGGCAACAAACTGACTATGGCTACTCAAGGTGACCAGAATGATCAATCAGGTTAGAAAGCCTCCCTAGGCTTCACTGTCCCCCCATAGACAGTCCAGTACTTGGGTTTCTTTCCAGTTGCTTGCTTCCTCTCTTTCCATAGTAGCAATAGCCAAACTTTGGGTGGCTGGAGCATAAATCAAAAAGTGGTCATACCATATGTGTGTTCAAATGCTCTGTAAGGTCTGTGGTGGAACACATGCCATTACCAGCCTAGGAAAATTTTTGTCATTTTCAGTCAAGCCTAAGGGGCTATGACAGTAGGACCCTGTTTTTAAAAAAAATAATAATTCTTGCCCTCCTTTTGAGATAACCCCTTAATCTCGTAGCTCCTAATATACCCTTTAGGCTCTCTAATAGCCAAAACTACTAGTCTTATATATGATTTATTACCTTGCTAAAACTATGCACCATCTACCTTGGTGGAGCTTATGACCATAGTGTTAAAAAATTTAGAACATAGAACTTACTGTCTAAGGTCCCAATGGAGATTAGAGGTCTAATGGAGATTAGAGGTCTAAGATCTCAATGGAGCTTAGTGTATTGGGTGCACTGGGGATCTAAGGTCCCATTGGAGCTGCCTGTCTAATGTCCCAATATAGTTTACTATCTAAGGTTCACTGGGGATCTAAGGTCCTAATGGAGCTTACCGTCTACAGTCCATTACAGGGTCCAAAGTCTCACTGGAGCTTACTTTCTCAGGTCCACTAGTGATCTAAGGTTCCATTGGAACTTCCTTTCTATAGTCATTTGGGGGTCTAAAGTCTCAATGGAGCTTACTGTCTAATGCACAGGTTTAAAAACACACATATACTAAGGACAGTTTGATGATGTTGATCCAGAGAATATCCGATTGCCTCTCTGGCGATCAGGAAGGAATTTTTGTCCCTGCAGGAGCAAATTGGATCAAGCTTTGCTGGGGTTTTTTTGCCTTCCTCTGGATCAACTGTGGGTATAGCATTATAACTTTTTTTTTTTTAATGGTTGAACTGGATGGACTTTTGCCTTTTTTCAGCCAGACTAGCTATGTAACAAACACACATATACCAAGGACAGTTTGATGAGATGCCAAATTACTTCTTTGCTTTTGGAGGGAACCCAAAGCAATCAGTAGAAACTTTTAGAACCAGTTCAACAAACTCTATGTGCTTAGTACCCCGATGGTATTTGGGATCTACCACCCTAATGCCGGAAAGCGCACATCCTAACTATTTACTCACTATGCTGATCCATGTCGTTACACCTACTCTATGGAAAAGGTAATTTGAGAAAACATTTTGTCCAATGTAGAAGTTTATATCCCTTAAAATGTTTCAGGAGTGATTGTGTTAGCTGCCAAACAACTGTACATATATATGTATAAGTCAAAACCATCCTTTATCTCTAGACCTCCACATCAGGAGAATCTTCCATGAAAACCGGAATCCAGCTCTACAGTTATGACTGATCCTAAGAGACTAGAGGAGGAAAGGAAAACAATAACTGGCAAGATATTAAATCTAACTCTGGAGATCATTTACTTGGTGACCGGAGAGGTGAGGAGGATTCTGGGAGGTCACATGACATCACTCTTATCTCTATTAATAAAACACAGAGCTGACCGGGGAGGTGAGGAGGATTCTGGGAGGTCACATGACATCATTCTTATCTCTATTAATAATAAAACACAGACCTGACCGGAGAGGTGAGGAGCATTCTGGGAGGTCACATGACATCACTCTTATCGCTATTAATAAAACGCAGACCTGACTGGAGAGGTGAGGAGGATTTTGGAAGGTCTCATGACATCACTCTTATCTTTATTAATAAAACGCAGACCTGACTGGAGAGGTGAGGAGGATTCTGGGAGTATTGCATGTCTTTAGTCCTATCAAAGTTAATAAGACAAGGAGATTACTAAAGAAACTATCAGTAACATCACTTTTTTATTGTGAAAAACCAGGGGCCTATATTGTAAAAATGTGGGATGAAAACCACTCTTTCTTTATAGTAAAGTGAAGCTAGCTTTTCATACGCAGGAATACAAAGTAGTGAAGAAGACACCTACTGAGCATATGACAGCCAGTGGCAATCCCTATGTACCAGGAGCAAGGAGCAGGAGCCAGAACACCTTCATGGTGGATGCATCTCATTTTCTAACACCTGAGAGATATAAAGATAAAAAGATTCTGGAAGTCTCCCAGAGGATCATTGAGCTACTGATGAGAGAGGTGAGCGGTGCCGGGAATTGTGGGACATTCTTCAGTAACAGACAAGGGATGTGTCTGGATGCTGACTGTATCATTGTGTGTGTCAGGTTCCTATAAGGTGTCAGGATGTCACTGTCTATTTCTCCATGGAGGAATGGGAGTATATAGAAGGACACAAGGATCTCTACAAGGACGTCATGATGGAGAACTGGCCACCCCTCACATCACCGGGTAAGAGGAGACTTTAATTTCTTGTATTGAGGATCCACCTAGATACACACATCCTCTGATATAAAGACATAGAAACAATGGATTCAGTCAGTGTGTGTGTTTCCTACAGATGGATCCAGTAATGGGAACCCACCAGAGAGATGTCCCCGTCCTCTGGATTCCCGGGACTCCACACAGGAACTTCAGGAGATCCCTCAGGAGGATCAGGTAGATAGAATATAGATTTCTGTTCTCTATAGCTATCCAATCCAAGCTTTTGAAACTTAAAAATACACCTACTGTTTTTCTTGGTGTTGTATAGGAAGAAAACTGGACTGAATACAACACTAAGGACAGAAAAACCCAAGAGCAGACATATGTGATGGGCGATGAGGAATGTGAGGAGGAGGAGGAGATCCCTCCAGAGATCAACATGGGTGAGTAATAATAGAAAAACCCTGACCTTTTCTTCCATAGCACTTTAATTTTTCACACACAAGTTAATCCTGTCATTGCCACTGACAAATGTCGTATCAAAAAATGCTGTCACATAGGGAACCTTTGGTCCCTCCCTCAACATATATCCACATATAAACATGAGCATCAGAGGGCACCTGTTTACGAAAAACAACAGCTGTGATTTTAAGGCTTGACATGTTGGGTATCTATTGACTCAGCACCACCTCATCTTTTATATTTTACCAAATAATCGGGTAATATATTGAGTTTGTGTGTTCTAATTTAAATTTGTTTTTCATGGAACATTTGTGCTTGATAAAACTTTTTTATTTCCTAGAAATTACTTTAAACCCCAAGACAACTATATTTTCTGGAAGCAGAGAGCTTGAAAAATAAAATGGTAGCAGTTGCAATTTTTTATGCTGTACAATATTTGCCGAGCTGTTTATCAAACATATATTTTTAGTAAAAAATACACTAAAATAAATTTTAGTGCAAAAAAAACCCCACAATATTATACCAATTTAGTTTTGTAAATAGTTTTTTTTTCGAGTAAATAGATACCAAACGCGCCAAGCCTTCAAAATTGGACATGCTTGTAATGGCAAAAAATTATGGTTTTAGATTTAACTGTTAAATTTTGCCCTCACACTGACATTCGAGGTAATACCTCACATGTGTGATGCAATATATGTTTACATACACATGCACAGTGTACATGTGCAATCGCATTGGGATGTGTAAAGGGGTGACAGGGGATTTTCTTTAATTTTGTACATTTTTATTGGTTTCATTATAATGTTTTACATTATTATTATTATTTTTTTTAGAATGTACTATTTTTACTTTTTTTTAAATTATTTTCATTTCACTTTATTGCCATCACAAGGGGGCAGGTGACAGGTCCTATTTATGGAGACATCAGAGCCCACAGTAGACCCCCTATGTCTCCCCTGCCCTCCATTGCAGCTAATCAAGCACAGCTGATTCCCTGGCTAAAGTAGCCGGAAAATGACAGTTCTAAAACCAGAAGTGACAAAGTTGTTGCATCCAGGTTCACAAGTTGCAAAGGAGAACAGGCTTTCCCGGTGCTCCTCCCGCTCTCATTCTTGGACCAGTTTGGTTGAGTGGCAGGGTGACACAATATTTAGAGTCCCATAAAAGCTATCAGGTGACTCTAGAGCTGTTCTAATGTTATGAAAACCTTGGAGGACATGGGGACAATGGAGCCATGGCTAGTTTTCAGCAGCTTTTCATAAAAAAATGATGCCCCCCCTATACAGCACAAAGAGGGTTGCGTGAAGTGAGAAGACAATACATGTTTTAATTTAGAGAAAGCACCAAAGATGAGGGTGCTTAGAGTCCATGAAGATATTGTAATGCTTCTATAGATAAAAGTAAGAACAGAACAATGGGAAGCTAACATGTTTCGGGGCCAAAAACAACACCTCTTCATCAGGGCTATAAAATGTTTCTAAATATCAGGTGGACTCTGAAAAAGTCCTGGATCAGTTGATCCAAATTAGAATAGTCTATTGACCGGTGTATCTGCCAAAAATTAAGCTCCTGTGATGCAGGTATAGATTTTTTTCTTTTAATGGCAGACTGTGGAATTTGGTCTTAGACTCTAAAGCAGCCTTTGTCAATCTTTTCAACACAGAGGAACCCATGAAATAAGTTTCCGGTCTCAGGGAACCCCTACAAAAAATGAATATAGCTATAACTCCCAATACATTAGTGTGATGGTCAGGGGGAAGAATGCTCCTAACACTTGTGGTCATTGGGAAGAATTACCCCCTTTAGATAGCTAAAAAGGTCAATGGTGTCAATGGAACCTTATCTAAGAGGCAGAATTTGCTCATTGCTCAAGTAACCCTTGGCATTCTCTGGAGGAACCCATGGAACCCTGGTTGAGAAACACTTCTCTAGAGAGTCAATATGGTGTCCCATTGTAGAAGTACATATACATGTCTTATCTCTTATGGGCATGAGATAAAATGATTTTGGCTGGAGTTGAGTTTTATAAAGATTGACTCTAGTTCTTGTCCAATAAGAACAAAAAAAAATTAGGTTTGAGTCTGAACGAGACCAAAACGAATTAAAATGTAATTCTCACTTGGTGTTTGTAGTTCAGTTTATGGTAGCTACTTATAAGTTACTGATTTCACTAGGAACATTAAAGTGGTTCTTCGCCCTGTTTGAAAAATATTAAAAGTCATCACCTACAAGTACTGTAGCTGCTGACTTTTAATGAAAGAACACTTACCTGTCCAGGGATCCAGCGCTGTGCTCACCCAAACCAGTTCTTACTGTGGCCTTCCCTGTGAAGCTGCAAGAAATCACAGCCGACTGTCCACTGCGCATGCGCTTTGTGAGTGGTCCCTCAGCCTTCTGGGACCTGTGACATGTCCAAGAAGGTTTCGGGTAGGGAGGACAACTTCTGGTAGATTCGGTGCTGCAATCCAACTGGAAGTAGGAGCGGGTACCTGTGAAAGCCAGGTACCTGCTCCCCCCCCCTCCCAAAAAAAAGAACCAAAAATAGAAGAGGAACGGGGAGGAGGACATAAAGCAGAACTTCCTGTTTAGGATGATATGTTTTAAAACATAACTTAGTTACAAATAAAAAGTTACATTTAGTCCCAGTGGATACCTTAGAATCACTTCAGAGATCTACATCAGCATTTATTCCCTGCTTGCTTGTGTCTACAAGTTTACAAAGTTCTTCTTCATCTTGTCTTACGTTCCCCAGATGGACGATACCGAAAGTATAACGTGGAAAAACATCCCATTATTGCTCACAATGGTGTGGTAGTAGATGATGTCACATCCGATTCTTCAGAAGCAAACTCCCTTACCCTGGTTCTCCATCCACGCGTTCTCAGTGCGAATCTGTCATCCAATCCCTCCACACATGGGGAGAATTTTCCTGATCACTTACTTCCCATCACTCATCCTACAGATCATATAGAGGGCGGAACCTTCCCATGTTCTGAGTGTGGTGAATGCTTTACTCAGAGATCAGAACTTGTGTTTCATCAGAGAACTCACACTGGGATGAAGATCTATTCCTGTTCCGAATGTGGGAAACGTTTCAACCACAAAGCTCATTTTATGTCGCACGAAAGAACTCACACGGGGGAGAAGCCATTTTCCTGTCCTGAGTGCGGGAGATGTTTTGCTGAAATATCAAACCTTACTAAACATCAGCGATCCCACACGGGGGAGAAGCCGTTTTCCTGTTCCGAATGTGGAAAATCTTTTACGCGAAGAGGCTATCTGATTTCCCATCGGAGGATTCACACAGGGGAGAAGCCATACTGTTGCACTGAATGTGGCAAATGTTTCGCTTTTAGGTCGGACCTTGCTAAGCACAAAAGGATTCACACCGGCGATCGACCGTATTCGTGTTCTGAATGCGGGAAAGGGTTTGCCCAGAAGTCGAACTTGGTTCAGCACCAGAGAATCCATAACGGTGATCACCCATATTCCTGTTCTGAATGTGGGAAATGGTTTTCTTGTAAAAGACATCTGATTGGACACCAGAAAACTCACACGGGTGACCGTCCGTATTCATGTTCCGAGTGTGGAAAAGGTTTCATCTACAAATCGAGTCTGGTGCGGCATGAGAAGATCCACAGTGGTGAAGATCCATATCTGTGTCCTGAATGTGGGAAACGGTTTTCTAGGAGGTCCACCCTTACATCACATCTCAGCTTCCACCGGAGGCAAGAGGTTCCTGGGCAGGGTGTGGTGGCTGAGTAAAAACGTGGACAACATGGGTGTCTTGGTGTCCTATGTTATAAAGAATAAAAAGATAAAATACACTTGTTTTTTTTTTTCTTCTTGTTTTATTGTAAAGGTCCTCCAACCTCAGAAGTTTACTTTGTCACTTTGTCGAAAGCGAAATACGGCCTGTATGGGGGTGCATGTGACTTCTTGACCCTCATTGGCATACGAAAATTGTTGGTGCTTGCCCATTGCCATAGCCACAGTATGCCAGCATTAATACCAATTGGTTAAAGAAAACATCCTTACGCAGCCCATCCTCATGCTCCAACCGAGTTTCCTAGACATCTGCCCCTGCCAATCCCTTCCATCTGTTTGGCTCAAAACTGATCCCTCCTGACCATTAACCACTTCAAGTTCTTAGGTTGTTTTAAAATATTCTGGATTTCAAGTGTTATATTGTAGAGGTCCTCCAATCTCAGATGTTTTTTTCGCCATAAGAGGCCTGTGTGGTTGTGCATGTGGCTCCTTGACCCTTCTTGCCACACAAAAAATGTTGGTGCTTGCCTATTGGCTGCTTGGACATCCTGCATTGTCTCATGGGAAGTGGGAGGTAGTCCTAAGCTCTGAGAGAGCCCCATGCTTTGCCTTTCTTCCATCTTATACACAGTCAGCCAGTATTAACTGCCTCCCTCCCGCCATATAGTAAAATGACGGACGCAAGGCGGTTCTCTTGTTCTGGGAGAACGTCATATGATGTCCTCCCATTCTAACCGCACATGCGTGGCTCCAGGAGCGCGCAGCGCGGCAATCGGTGATGCGCTGTGTCCCTCGGACACAGCGGATCACCGATCAACGGAAAGAGATGTCAGCTCGGTCATGTGATCAGCTGTGTCCAATCACAGCTGATCACATGTAAACAGGGAAATGTCGGTTATCGACATTTCTCTCCTCACGAGCTGTCACGCTGACAGCTCATGAGGAGAGGAGAGCCGGTAATCGGCATTCCTCGGAGGGGACATTTACACAGATCATCAGGGCACTGATGATCAGTGTGCCATGATGATCTGTGTAGCCCCAGCAGTGCCACCTGTCAGTGTCCATCAGTGCCAGCTGTCAGTGCTCAGCCATGCCACCTGCCAGTGCCCATCAGTGCCACATTTCAGTGCCATATGAGCTGCCTTTCAGTGTCACCCATCAGTGCCAGTCAGTGCCACCTATCAGTGCTGCCGATCAGTGCCAGTCAGTGCCGCCTATCAGTGTGCATCAGTGCCGCCTATCAGTGCCTGTCAGTGCTGCCTATCAGTGCCGCCTAACAGTGCCAGTCAGTGCCACCTAACACTGCCAGTCAGTGCCGCCTATCAGTGCCAGTCAGTACCGCCTATCAATACCATATATGAGTGCTGCCTTTCAGTGCCCATCAGTGATGCCTGTCAATGCCCATCAGTGCCTCCTCATCAGTGCCCATCAGTGCCACCTATCAGTGTCCATCAGTGCAGCCTATCAGTGCCCATTACTACAGCCTCATTAGCGCACATCAGTGAAGGAGAAAAATCACTTATTTACAAAATTTTATAACAAAAACTAAGAAAAAATGTTTGTTTTTTTTCAAAATTTTCAGTGGTTTTTGGTTTGTTTAAGAAAAAATAAAAAACCCAGAGGTGATTAAATACCACCAAAATAAAGCTCTATCTGTCACAAAAAAATGCTAAAAATGTCATATGGGTACAGTGTTGCATGACCGTGCAATTATCATTCAAAGTGTGACAGCGCTAAAGCTGGAAATTGGCCTGGGCGGGAAGGGGGTATAAGTGCCCTGTAGGCTAGTGGTTAATACCATTGGTCAAAGAGAACACCCTCATGTAGCCCATTCTCATGCTCCAACCAGGCTTCCCAGACACCTATCCCTGCCAATCCCTTTCTCCCGTTTGACTTTATGCCTACCCATGCTGACCATTAACCACTAAAATTTCTTAGGTTGTCCTTAAATTGTTCTAAAAATTTCCTGGGCTTCAAGTGCTAAAAACAAGCATACGGCTTCATCATCCTTTTCAGCCGGTGGTCAGCTCTACAACCACCCAATCACTTTTATGATAGTGAGAGGGGCCCCATCCACAGCTCAAATCCTTCTGGCACCTGCAGTGGTTTCCAGGCTCTCCTGTTCCTCCTCGAAGCCTGGGACCTGGGCAATCTAGCCAGACAGTGAGAAAGAGGGGATCAAGGAACATCCATTACTATAGTTGAGGTAGAAGATGATCAAGCATGATCTGTGCTTGAATAGCTGCAGCGGAGGGAAAGGAAGATATTGGGGATCTAATAGATCCCTGATGTCTCCATAAAGAGGACCTGTCACCTACCCATGCTATGACATAGGGGACTTGTTTGTAATATCAATAAAGTTTAATGAAAAAAAATGGTAAAAGTGTAAAAAAAAATAATAAATTGTACTAAAAGAAGTAAAACTAAAAAAAAAAAGCAACCCGATTGTGCATACACATGAATGCACACATTCCCTGAACTTCACGTATCTTGCACAGTCTGAGTCTCCAGGCACATCCAAAGTTTCACGCAGTTTCTTGCAACATTCAAAGTATTTCTAGAAGTCACTTTTAACTTCCAAACTATTTTTTATCAGTCTATTGTAATCTCCAAAGTCTTTCTAACATTTGCATCATCCAATGTATTTCTAATAGTCTCTTGCAAAATCCATACTTTTTCTAGTAGCCTCTTGCAAAACCCAAAGTCCCTCTGGCAATCTCTTGCATCATCTGGATTCTCACTAGCACTCTCCTGCAACAACCAAAGTCTTTCTACCAGTGTCTCTCAACATCCAAAGTTTCTCTATCTGTCTCTTGTAACATCCAAAGTCTATCAGTTGCTTACCACTCTCTCTGGAAATTTCTTGGACTTTCCATGCATTCTCTTTATTAGTGGACATCAATGTCTAAGCCACAGGTGTCAAACTGGCAGCCCTCCAGCTGTTTCCAAACTACAAGTCCCAGGAGGCACTGCAAGATTGGCAGTTACAAGCATGACTCCCGAAGGCAGAGGCATGATGGAACTTGTAGTTTTGCAACAGCTGGAGGGCTGCCAGCTTGACACCCCTGGTCTAAGCAGAATAATCACCGCACATCTAATATTTGTGAAATTTCTATTTATTTTCTACTGCTGTCAGCTCCATCTAGTGGCATTATTGTGGATTTTCCGAATTTAGATGTGTCAGGAAAATATCATATTATGGCCACTAGATGGAGCTGACCGCCATAGGAAATAAATAGAAAATTACATTTCACACATATTAAAAACAGTGGGGTTGATTTACTAAAACTGCTGGGGGGGGGGGGAGGAATCTGGTGCAGCTGTGGATTGTAGCCCATCAGCTTCTAATTTCAACTTGTTCAATTAAGCTTTGACAAAAAACCTGGAAGCTGATTGGTTTCTATGCAGAGTTGCACCTGATTTTGCACTCTCTAGTTTTAGTAAATCCCCCTCATTATGTGGATTATTCACGATGGCCGTGCAATGCTGAGATATTCACACGCTAAACCTTTTATAAATAGGCTAGGTTCACACTTTTGCATTTGCATGGGTTTGAGTTTTTTGTATGTGGGCTGTTGGTGCATTTGAGGCACACTCATGATTTCAAAGCATGATTCTCACATAATTCCTCATGTTGTGGACAGGGCTCTGGAATGGGCTGAACCTAAAAGCAGTTTTTTGAAATACTCAGACCAGCCCGTCTGGCACCAACAACCATGCCACGGTCAAAGTCACTTAAATCCCCTTTCTTCCCCAGTCTGATACCAAATTAAAAAAAAGAAAAAGCGCCACTTACAAAAAACACCAAAGTGTCAGCAGCATATCCCACCCAAAATAAATTTTGGCAACAATAATCCAAATTAAAAGGTATGTGCTAATAACAAACTTATACAAAAGTGTACAGTTGCAAGAAAAAGTATGTGAACCCCTTGGGATTACGTGGATTTTTGCATGAATTGGGCATAAAATGTGCTCTGAACGTCATCTAAGTCACAACAATAGAAGAACACAGTCTGCTGAACATAATACTACACAAACATTAGATGTTGCCATGGTTTAATTGCACATAACATGTAAACATTCACAGTGCAGGGAGGAAAAAGTATGTGAGGCCCTAGCTTAATGACTTCTCCCAGAGCTAATTGGAGCCAGGAGTGAGCCAACCTTGACTCCAATCAGTGGGATGATATTGGATGTGTTGCTGACAGCTGTCCTGCCCTTAAAAAACACACACCTGTTTTGGGTTTACTGGTTTCAAGAAGCACTGTCTGATGTGAACCATGCCTTGCAGAAAAGAGCTCTCAGAAGACCTACCATCAAGAATTGTTGACTTGCATGAAGCTGGAAAGGGTTACAAAAGTATCTCCAAAAGCCTTGATGTTCATGTGTCCACGGTAAGACAGACTGTCTACAAATGGAGAAAGTTTAGCACTGTTGCTACTCTCCCTAGGCGTGGTCGTCCTGTAAAAATGACTGCAAGAGCACAGCGCAGAATGCTGCATGAGGTAAAGAAGAATCCCAGAGTGTCAGCTAAAGACCTACAGAAATCTCTGGCACACGCTAACATTTTTGTTGACACATCTACAATAAGGAAAACATTAAACAAGAATGGAGTACATGGGAGGACACCACGGAGGAAGCCATTGCTGTCCAAAAAGAAGATTGCAGCACGTTTGAAGTTTGCAAAAGAGCACCTGGATGCTCCACAGCACTACTGGCAAAATATACTGTGGACAGATGAAACCAAGATTGAGCTGTTTGGGAAGAACACACAACACTATGTGTGGATAAAAAAAGGCACAGCGCACCAACATCAAAACCTCATCCCCACTGTGAAACATGGCGGAGGGAGCATCATGGTTTGGGGCTGCTTTGCTGCCTCAGGGCCTGGACGGATTGTTGCCATTGATGGGAAAATGAATTCCAGAGTTTATCAAGACATTTTGCAGGAAAACGTACGACCATCTGTCCGCCAACTGAAGCTCCGCAGAGGATGG